TAAATAATAATAATAATAATAGTAATAATAGTAATAATAATAATAATAATAATAATAATAATAATAATAATAATAATAATAATAGTGATAATAGTAATAATAGTGATAATAGTAATAATAATAATCAATTACATACATAGGGTAATCTAATAAGAGTTTTTTTTTCTTAATATTTTCTATAAAAAAAAAAAAAAAGTGTTTCATAACTCTCAAAAAAAAAATGCAATTTAAATATTCAAAATATACTGTATTTTATATACAAATTATCTACAGTATTTACAGTATTTACAGTATTTACAATACGTACAGTATATTAAAAAATTTATTTTATTTTTATTTTTGAATATTATAATTTAATAATATTATAAAAAAATTCTTGAACAATTAAAAATCAAATAAAAAATAAGAAATTGCATATACCATAATGATATAATAATTTTAGAAAAAATCAAAAGTCAAGATTTTAGCTTATGCTATATACTGTATATTACTGTAAATAAAAAATCTCAATTGATTTATTTTACAATTTAATGTATTTAAAAATTTCTATATTAAAATACATTATTATTTAATCAACCTATTTTTAAATTTTCAAAAATATGTAAACATATATAAATTTTAATTATTTTATTAATTATTGCAATACAATAAAATATAAGATAATTTCATTAAAAATGTAAAAAATCAATTTTTATTTAATAAATATAATAACTTTTGGTATTAAAGGAACTTTTTTTTGTTTTTTCTGATCGAATTATAAACTGGTTTTGAAATTTATTGAGAAAATATTCAAAACTCAAAATCAAATTCCTTGACATAACTTTCCGCATATGTTTACGATATGTTCTCGTCTTTAAATCATCTGATATGACTTGATCCTACAAAAAAAAAAAAAATATGCCACGCCACGACGTTAGTTAATCGTACAGGTACATACAAAGATATTACATCAAAGATTACCTCTGTTCAACTTGAGTAATTTTTGGCTGCAGACATTTCGTTCTAGAACCTAAAACACTTTGCAAGTCCGATAATTTCTAATGAACAGATAAAGTCGTAATAAGTCAGTTATAAGAAAGATGTGGACGCAAACAAATAACATCTTCGAATTATTACCCTTGGCGTAAATATGAGTTCAGAAGTGAACGAATCTTTGTATAATATGGAGGTCAAGGTATCTTCGATTTCTTCGCTACAGAAATGAAGAATAATATTGGAAAAATGTCATTAAATAAAAGTAAGTATTTTAATACGAACCTCGATTTAATGAACTCTTGCTGTGACTTCAATTCTTCCTCCATTCTACTTCGTGCGTTTTCCCTTGATTGTTGGACTGATGTCATTTTTTCCTTCAGTGATTCGTACGTAACGAACGTTGAAGACCTTCTCCCTCTTGTGAAATTATTGGAGGGGGACATACTCACTTTTTAAAGAATGGAATCAATAGGAGTTTTTTTTTTTCAATCAAACGCAAAATCAAAACTTACAAATATCGCAATTCATCAATTTCTTCATCGAAAATACCATGTCATCACTAATTTCCACTACAGTCTTTCCGATCCTAGAATCCACGAAATCTGATGCAGATAAGAGTTTCTACATAAAAATGTTTACGCAATTAACCCTGAACACAAAAATATAATTCTAATTTAATGTTGGAGGCTTTCGGTTACCATTCGATTGTTAACATTCTCAGTACGTCGCTTCAGTTCATTGGTAACATCTGTTAGCAATTTATGGACGTCTTTGTGGTTGTCAAGCTCGATATTGAAAGCCTGATAAGTTAGTTGAAGGCGTGCGTACTGCATAGTCAAGAGATCTATGACCTGGCATAAAAGTACAAATTCACGAAACATGATTTGAGGAATATGGCAACAAATAATATAACATACAAGCGTACCATATTCATTCGTTCAATAATTGATTCTTGGTAATCCGATTGAATGCTATAACCGGTCATCAATATCGGCTTTTCGATCTCCAGCTCTGCAAGGGCGTGTAGGTAATCTTCTACTTTTGGAATCATAATAGAATCAATTTCCTGATTTGCCCAGACAATGCCATTCTCGTACTGTTCATACTTTAATCTACAAAAGAGGATCACTGTTAAGATCAAAAATGACAAAGCTTTAATAAGAACACGAGACTTACGCTAAATCGTTGGTATTTATCGCAATAGAATCTAGCCTTGAAACTTCACCTTCTAACACTTTCAAATACGTCACCCAATACTCATGACTAGATACGATTTGTATATATTTACATTCCGACCTTGGATATCTGACAACACCTTTAAGTGGTCAAAATATTGAAATATGAACAGACACAAAAAAAGATTCCAAAATAAAAGACTTACAGATATTTTAATCGTTTTATTTCTTCGTCTATTTCGTTTGGATCAAACAAATCATCTTCAATCTACATTACATTTAAAGGAATGTTAAAATTTTACAAAGATATGGTACGACTATTGCAATTATTACCCGCGGAAAAAGCTTATCACATAATTTTTGAAGCTCGCGCGTAAAATCCTGGTCTGTCTTAATTATCTCGCAGATTTCACTTGTGCATTGAGACAAAAAATTTTTACTCAATTTTCCTATGTGAATTCAAAAGGTCAGACGCCCGAAATTGTATTGATACATTCTCGATCAAATTCGAGAAAATCGCACCATCTTTTTCCTTCATCACTCTTTCCGATATAACATTAGATATTGTGTTGGTCATAGCAACTGTGTTCGCATCGAGCTATGGATAGGAATTCAAACAATTAAAGATGAAATTTAACTTTCAAATTTAGCATTCTATGATTAACATTCATATTCTCAGGAAAAACCTTGACGGAATCGTCTTCAATCAACTTATCGATGTCCTTATTCTTGTCGTCCAGTTCGTGATTGATCTTTTTCAGATCTGAAAGTTGATTTTCTAATTCTTCCGAGGTTAATCTATTGTAAGACGCGTAAATCACGTATTCTCTTAATTTTGGCGCGTTTATCCAATTTTAAGAAGCTCGCTTACTTGAGTTGATCGCGATGCGCTATCACATGATTTTTCCTTTTTTGTAAGGCTTCGACCTCCCTTTCAAGATCTTCGTATTCTTTTCTATAAAATTCAAATTCGAAATTTTTTTACATTTGAGAACAACGTGAAAAGACACCAAGCTACTTACTTTATCTTCTCAAGTTCGAATTTATTACTTGTATTTTGAATAATGATCATTACTTTAATAAAGATAAAGAGCGAATAAAGTGGATGCCTAAAATTATCAACTTACAGGCCACTTTCGTTATTCCCAATGTAGTTTTTCTCAACATCAACGTTTTCACATAACCAATCAAGTAAATAAAACGATTCTTCATTTTCATATGCCCACAATATTTGTTCCGGTTGCAATGTCGAAGCGCCAGGATATTCCAGTCGAGTTAGAAAATTTATAAAGTTGCCGGCAGAACGAAGCCTCGAACTTGTTTCTGAAGGGATACGAAACATCTTAACAATTTTTTGAGTGTCGCGTTATTGAATCTGTCATTTATATCACATGATTATCATATGATCATCTTGGGAAAAAACGTGTTATCAACTCTGGTGCTAATAGAAAGTACAATAAAGCCCAATTTAGTAAAATTCATTTACGTCATGTCACGTTTTTTTTGCGTAGTAAAGAACATATATATAAATTCGACTATCGTTTAAGTTCTCACTTATCCCCTCTATTCCCTCACAAACATGCAATCAATCACATTGTTGCCGGTATTCATCCTTCTTTTTATACTTTCTCCACCATATTTTCTTTTCGAATCTTTTCAATCAAGTTCAAATTTTGCCGGGGCAACAAAGACCCTCATAGATGTTCTCAGTAGTGACGAGCGGTTTGCGCAACTACTTTTGTGTCTGCAACGGACTCATCTTATATATTATGTAAACCATTTAGAAACTGCCACCTTCTTTGCCCCTATAAATGAGGCATTTGATAATCCTTTTATCACCAAAGAAGAGATGCTTTATCACATTTCGCTTCAAGAGATCAAAGGCGATGAACTATTTGATGGACAACTTGTGACAACCACACATGAGATTGCTGACAAGCTCGGGGAAGGCCTTATAGGACAAAAAATAAGAGTCGATTTTTCAGAGGGGAGGAGATACGTTGGGAACGGAAAGATCCTTGA